GAAGAGTGTGTTTTGGTTGTGAAATGAAAACCTGTTTTTTTCCTACCTCTACACTGGTTTTGGTCAAAAACAGCCGGAGCTTCAAAGAGACTGTGAGTAATCGTTATATAATAACCACAAAAATAAGGTAAGACAATGTAAGGAATTTCTTTTGCAAGATATTAAAATACAGAATTTTATTTAATATATAGTGTTCAAAAGTTTGGAGTTAGTTTGATTTAAAGAAATTGCAAGGATACATTAAGAATGTAGCCTTTAAAGAGACTTCTTTCAAAAACACGACAAATATCTTACCTTTGTCTTCCATAAAATAGTAAGGAGGTCAGTGGTGCCCCAAAAGTGTTTGGTTACAAACATTCTTCAAAATATCTTTCATTTTTGGATGAACTATTCCTTTAATGTCAGTAAAAATCTAAATTAATTTTGGCTTCAGAGCAACCATGGCGTTCAGACTCCAGGTCAATCTTGCAAACATGAGTGACGCAATGCAATGGGAGGCTCTGTAGTGCTCACTTCTGGCTTTATCTACGAATTTGGACATCGCTACCTATGTGGTTAATACTAGAGTTTATTGTCTACTGAGTTATGTATTTTACAGGGGCCAAATTCACAAACAATCATTTTCTTTCCAGTAGGAGTCATCCTAAGAGATGCTGGCAGACATAGCAGGCAGATAGTGTCTTATTTAACAACAGTGTATGTCATAGCTATATACTTCCAATTTAAAAGGGCACGCTCATAAAATATGACATCATCCTTAGTACTATCTACACCCCTTATTCTTACATGAAGTAAAACTTTTGTTTTATGAATAGGTTTCAAGTTGAAACTCCTTTCTAGGAACTCCTGAGAAATAATTCTTTGCGAAGTGATGGTTTCTGAGGGATTTTTAAAAGTCCTCAGAAGGACTTCTTAAACCCCGTTCACACCGCCAGCGACTGCTTCACTGCATGTCGCCAGTGGCTGGTGGTTGGATCGCTAGTGGGCATTTCTACTACTACTACTACTACTACTTGTCAGAACAACGAGTACCACCACATGAACACAGAGACATCTCATATATTATAGGGAAGCCGCTGACCGCTAAAATTAGCTTCTCCTTCATGTTTACCTCGACACTGACAGACATTAAAGAGTGGTGGATGATGTGGGCTCCACTGACTTCCCACCTATTGGATGCCACTCGAGAAAATCGCTTGTCGTTTGCACAAAGTTAAACTTTTCTCTCGTGACTCCTATCGCTAGACACTCCTACGTTCTGTTGCCAACGGTCACTGTCGCTCATGTTGCCAGCTTTCTTTTGAAATGAATGGGATCCTGTCGCTTTGTCGGTGCATGTCGCTGGCGGTGTGAATGGGGGATTTAAACTCTCCTGGGTTTAAGGGCTACTTTTAGCGTCAAAATGCTTCATGAATTAGTTAGATTGAAACACCCCTTGTTTTTAAGGGCAACTTTTAGCATTAAGATTTTTTGTCAAGTGTGCAAGTAAACTAAATGAAATGTCTTGGTAAGCTGAAAATTATTAATTACAGTGACAAATTACAGTTTAGTTGTGGAGAATTTTGTTTTATTTTTCATCTGAGTAGTGCAATCTTTATACTTTGTGTTTCCCTATAGGTATTTGAGGAAAGGCACGGAGGATACTGGCACTGCATTGCAGGGCTTTCTTTTAGTTGGCGCCTAGGACAAGCAGACGCTCGTTATGTACACTTCACTCTTAACAATACGAATATTCTGCTCTTCAAGACTGGCAGAGAGACAGCAACTGTTCAACATATTGCAGTTATGCATTGTGAGAAGCAATTTCAACTTTTACAAAAAAAATTGTATTTAGTCAGTGTAATACAAGCTGAGATTACTCAAACAGCCAAGTAGATACCTATAAATGTAAAGCAGCTATTAGCTGTGGGAATATTAGCTTTTTAAGATTTTTAAAATCCTTCTATGAGCCTACTTTTAAAGTGGTTTTAAAATTAAGGATTAAAATATAATTGTTTATGGCATCACATGGTTTTAGTTTCAGTTCAAACTGTGTCAATGCTGCATATCATAAGATGCCTATTTTACAGATGTAGACAAAATAGAACATGTTTTACTGTGGGGTTAGAATTGCCTCTTTATTCCAAATAAATAAATTATGATCCACAAATAAATGTAAAGAGATTCACAAACATTAAACATGTTCACAAATAAATGGAATGAGATCTGTTAATGACTCCACATGTTCTTGCCTACATCTACATTACATTAGTTTTGGTCAAACACAGGATTGATTCAGACACCGTGAGTGAATCGTCATATAATCAACACCTAAATAAGGAAGTGTAAGGAATATTTTGTGATATATAATAATAATAATATGTAATGTAATATATATATATATATATATATATATATATTCTATATGTAGCATCTATATTATATATCTTCTTTTGTGTTTCAGAGAAGAAAGAAAGTCAGATTTGGAATGACATGAGAGGGTTAGCAAATGCAAAATGCATAAATGAAAATGAGTAAATGATGACAGAATTTAAATTTTTGGCTCAACAATCTCTTTAGCACTTAGTAGGAGCAACAATGATGTTTTAACAAAAACCACTAAATACCACACCACTCAAAACCCACAGTAAACATACTCACACACACACACACACACACACACACACACATACACACAAAAACCACACACTGACACACTTGTGTTTTGCGCCAAAGCTAACTAAACGCCCAGCATTAGCGAGCTGATCTCAAGCGTGACATCGCGCAGGAAAGACCAAACCCCAAAACACTGAGTCACTAAATCCACTTTAATGAGGAGGAGAGGATGACAGGAACAAGCACTGGAGAAAAATAATTTCTTAAGGATCAGATACCATCTAAGACAAGCTCACACACACACACACACACACACACAGCCCCGCTTTCAGAGACCTTTAATCAGTGAAGATTACCAATGAAAACAGGGCAGGACACCAAAGCAGCCAAAACCCCATGAGAATGCTCGTCTTTCTATATGTAGCATCCAACAGTTTGGAGCCAGTATGAAAGTTAAGTGTATAAATTAGCTTACTCAAATATTTCAAGTGAAGAGCAATTAAAATGTATGTGTACAAAATAGAAATCTGCTTGTTCTCAACTTTTAATTTTCTTAACTTGACAATTGTGAGGTAATCGTTACTAGGGCTACAGTCACACTCATAAGAAGTACCGTATTGACCCGAATATAAGATGATTTTTTTATGTCTTATATTCAGGGTCTAGACTTTGACATGTCAATAATAGACCCACAACAATAGGTGGCGCCAAATACGCATAAAATGAGTGTGCCATGAAATACGTAATGTAATGCGTGTTGTAAAGATCGCGAGTAAAAACAAAAGAAAAAGAAAACCTTACAGCTGCATGAGTCGTGACTGTCACGTTAGCCTGATGGGACCAAACTCCCTTTGTGATTTTAAAACGTAAGACAGTACCCAGATTTGAAGACTACAGTAAGATTTAACTTCTACTGTTAATAAGATTTTGGTAGGCTACTATTAGATGGATAGCCTAAATGTCCTAATTCAGATGGGCTACTTTTTTTCAATGGTATATCAAAAAGTGTATATTTTTTAAATGTGATTGTTGGTACATTTTACCAGTTTTTACCATACTTTCAAAACAAAAATTAAAATAGGAAAAATATGCAGTATGAAAATAATTGAAGACAACATGCGTTTTACTGAG